TATGTATTTTATGTGATACTGCTCATAGAAGCCAATAAGAAAAATAAGAAAAGTTTAAAAGACAAAAAAATTAAGGCCATGATTAACCATCGACTAGGAACAATATCGATGATATATAGACAAACTACTAGAAGCTTTTCTTTAACCTACATGATGCAAGCTCTAGATTTAGATGTTTAAATCTGCGATTATTACATCAGGGGTTTACGTTCTAAATTTACCAAGCTGAAGTTACCACAATAAAGGTCAGTAACTGTTTGTTATCGAAGAAGCAGTATTTCTGATGAAATGAGATTATTTAACCAATGGATAAAGTAAACTGTCCAGTCTAAATCTGAATTGGCCAGTAACAAGATTGTAAAATTATTCTTAAGAGTCCTGACAGGATTCACAATAGTTTCATTATATATGTTGCCTATTCATCGGGTAACAATGTTTATTGAACCTGATGGTGCCTGGTTGGACGCCGTAAGAAACTTCCTGATTAACTCTATAAATTAAACTAATATGTTCACGTCTAAAATGTATTCTTAGTCACGAATAATTGGTCTATTCGTAGTAAATTGCCTGTATTGAAGATTTTAGATGTAAAAACCCTATTTCATATGATTTCTTCTGACCCTAATTGAGAATCATTTTATTGCGTATAAACCATTTGTGATACAAAACTTCTTAAAGAAAACAGCAACATTAACAACGTATTCTTATGTATGGTAATTAGAAAGCAACCCGTTAAATGTGTTTTAACAATCATTGTTAAATAATTCTGAGGACATTGGTGTGTCGATTCAATCCAAAAAGATATAATAAGAGATCCACGAACAAATGTAAAAGAAAAAGTTAAGAGGCAGTCTATATGTTATGTTCTTGAACAGTGGATATGTAGCAGCATTTAAACCAAAAAACAGGCAGTGAAATATACCTTTGCAGACTAGTAACGGTAAATGGTTATCTGAAAATATATGAAATTTGAACTTGTTTTTATACAAGAGGTCGGATATATCAAGTTATTTATTGCTACGAGCTATTTTATTTTCATTACATGGAACACATCCTTAGAAAACAAAGTTGTTTCCTGTTGTTTGACAGTTCAGATGGGTGTTGACTGTATTGATGCCTTGAGCAAGTTTAATGATGAGTTTGTGATCAAACATGTTTACAGAAAAGATAAAGAAAAGGTAACGCATCAGAGTTCTTTTCATCTGGGTTTAATTATTTGAATAAGAACAAAAATCCTGCACAAAATTCAGTTTTTCGTTGTGAAAAATAATTACACTACTTGATTAGCATAATACACCATGGCAACATTACAATTCTCGGATATGGTCTGACTATATACATGTATCTATATTCAATATTCAACAAGGAGTATAAACATGATGTATTTTAGACATCTTTTTGTTAGAATGTACATATCATAAAAACTTTTTGTCTAGAAATATTAAAACAGAACATGAATCCTTTTGTCTGTGTATATTTGGGTGAATGGGGAGACGTTCCAGATACATTTTACCAAAAGATTTGGTAAAAATTTTCTACAACTTTAATGTCAAGATGAGCCTATAATATTAATGTGCCAAGGGGTGACCATCTTTATCTCACCACAGATTTTAGTCAGGGGGCGTTCAATGAGTTGTTTCATCTATAATCAACTATTATCATTTATAGCTATTTGTAGAACTAATAGAATGGTGGGGCATCAAAGTAACTTCTCCTGTAATGAATCAAATGAATATCCACAGAGATTTCATATCATTTCTACTAAATTTATCAATCGTTTTCGCTCTAAAATAGAGCGTACGCTGTTTTCAATGCTATAAAACAGAGCTATAAAATGTTCTTTATTTGTCGATAAGAGAAGGACCCTAGAGGAAATTTAAAAAACTACCAAATCTCTTTTCAAGTTTTAGTATTCAGTAACCATGACATTCGGTCATCAATTATACCAAATAAAATCATAACGACGTAATGTAAGACGATAATTGATCAGGATTTAGTCAATGAAATCTGGTTTGTACCAGTTCTTAGATACATCGTTTTGACACAGTAAGTATCTCCACCATCTCACTATTATATCCTTGATGCAGTTTCCAGTTTTCAACGGGGCAGTTCCATCTTAGAGGCTCACAGCTTGATGAACATTAACACGGTTGATGGGAGGTGTGTTAAACATCACAGTAAACGGATAGCTGCTTGTTACCATCAGTGAGTTGTTAATTAAGATTAAAATGTTAAGGTCTGAAAGGAAGTTGATAATACATATTCCTCCAGACTTAACAATAATTCTTTGCTTTTTTTTTGCTACTTATAGCATCTCTTTCGCGTCGTCTTGTTCAAATAAATTTCAATGAAAATCCTTACGGCCAAACTTCAACGATTGGCCTTGAAAGACGCGTATCCGTCAAATTTGATTATCTGAAATTTGACACCATAACCACCCCTCCCCTTTAGAACCTTCCAAAACCTCTCTGGTCAAGAACAGATGGGTGAAAGTGATTACATAATTAATTAGTCAGTATTGTCTATAATCTGTGGGATTTGTATCTTTAGAAATCAAGAAAAAATATTTTAAGAAAATGTGAGTGAATTGAGTTTTACGTGTAAATAATGTCGAGCAACTTGTATGTGTAATGATATCACGAGAAACCATGCAGCAGGACAAACCAACAGTACACGAGATGGTTATTTAAAGTTTCAAAATTGATGTGAGAATGTCAAGTACAGATAAAATGACGTTTGCAGATATGGTGAAGAAGAAGTACGCACACTTTAGGTTTATACAGCCAACTCGTTTCTTTTCCTTTTCTTTCATATTATTATGACGTTATGAATTCTCTAAATCTAATACATGTACACATAAAATCCTTCTTATAGTATATTCTAGACTTACTTGGCGGGGTTTAGGAATGTATAGCTTTGAACCATGGTAATATTTCTATATTAGACTGTATGAAAATCTAGGTTTAATATCGAATGACTGTGTAATCATGGTTTTATAGATAACCAGGAGATTACTGGCAGTAAATTATTCCTTCATTATAGGCACCTTAATATCATTTATCTGGCTAAAATACTAATCTATTATCTCCCTTTACAATTATTCTTTATAGATCTAATGAAGTCACGTTTAGTCATTTCCAGTAGCTGTTAGTTTAGTAGTGCTTTTATTCATGTAGAATAGGATATGATAAGACATTAACGAGTCTTGCAATTCTAAAGTAGGCCAGTGTTCATTAATGGAAGAATGAATCAAAACTTCTTAATGCATAAACCTAAATAAATATTCACGAAATAAGTTGACTGGGTGGGAGGTAAACTATTAAATTCCTCACGTTTTTTGTCAAATTTGACTTCAAACAAAATATAAAATCAAGAATTTCATTCAAATGAAACAAATTGACTACATGTCAACAAAATATATTCTGTTTTCATAAAGGTGTAAAGGTAGGTCTTCACAGTGGATTTGTCATCTTTTCACGATACCTGTCTTGTTGATGTCACTTTAATTTTAAGAATCCCTTGGGAATTTCAGACACATACCTATCTTGCATTATTGTTAGGCGTTGCTACTGCCACCCTCCTTTTTCACTGAGATGCCCCCTTTTTGTCTCTATGAAACTTTTGCATGAGGTTACAAACTCGCTTTACTTGTATAATGTGATAAATTTCTTTATTGGTACTCAAGTTCCTGGTTGGGAGGAGATAACTCGATTTTATAGACCTTAAAATAATATAACATCCCTATCTGATTTAAACTCTGGAAATCACATTATATTTATGACAGTTACAAATCAGTATAAGGAATTAAATGATGAACGAGAAGGGGTTATTACTCTTATCATAATGAATATCAGAGATTGTTGACAGGGAGACCTCTAGCGTTAATTACTATATGTATAACAGAGTTATCACCCTTTGAACTGTTGAGTTATTACAGCCTAGGACATGGCACTGAGTCAACAGGGTTAAATATTTCGACTTGTCCACTATTATAAATTCATATATCATATCAGAATTATCTTATTTGTTTGGATAATCCGCCGTACTAAAATATGTCTGTTAGAGTAATCTACACTGTAAAAAAAGTCCGTTTTTTTTACAGAGATGTACTTCATATCTTCTGTTGATATACGTAAATTTCTGCTAATATACATACTTTTCTGTTGATTTGCGGACTTTGTTCTTACATTAACAGAATGTTAGTTCCGCAATAAGGAAATATGTTATTTTACGTAAATTAATCTTGGTCGTATGTCATTTAAGAACAATTACGTTATTTGTCAGTAAATTTACGTAAATTCTGTGTTATTATCATGTATGTCCAAACTTGTCTGTAGATAAGCGAAGTCTGCGCATGCGTGGTCATACTGTTTTTTTGACAGGAACTTTATGTTTCCTTAAATTATAACAGGATTGCTGTTAATTTACGGAAACTGTGATTTTGCGTTATGATAGTTTCGACCTGTCAATCAAAGTAGGTATGACGTCATCGGTAAAGACACGAGGTCAGTCTATCGTCACACCGCCATCTTATCCCACATCAAAACAAGGCTACGTCGAAGGGATTTTTGTGAATTTCTTAAATTAAATTTAATATGGTGAGATGCATGGATAACTTGAAATGCTGACCCGATATTCCACCACTCATTCCTCTTCTATTATCACCTTTTGTCAAAAACTGCAAAATGTTTTACTGAATTATGTGGGGACAACGACAAAATGACTTAAATTTATCCTACACGATGAACTTGACTAGGCTTAGCTTACTTGGTCTTGGGTAGAGTGGAAATGATCACTGAATACAAATTCACAGGTGAGTGTATTTTAATTATTTCCTAAGTAAATTTGTAATGTTACCATTTTATCACTTTATACATATGTGGTATTTGTGGTCTGAAACTTAGATCAGTCTTGTCAAGAGTCATCTTTCTGTTTAGAACTCTTCTGTCTAAGAGAGTAGAAAAATTAATAGCTTTTCATAGCAATGAAGTCCTCAAATTCATTCTCAATCT